CCCTCCCGGTGCCACCCTCCTCACCTGTGCCCTGTGCTGCTCCCCAGAGCCCGTCAGCCCCTCGAGCCCCCCGGTGCCCCCCACGCCGCTGCCCACGCTGGCCCCGGACCGGCTGCTGCTGCCCGCGCCCCCTCGGGCCACCCCGCGGGCCCCGGTGGCCACCGGCTCGCCGCCGGCCGAGCCCCCGGAGCGCGGCCACCCCTCCACGCGGCGCGCGACCACGACGGCCCGGCCGGCCACCGCGCCCTGGGTCACCCACGGGGCGCACAGGGCCACCGCCCGCCCGCCGGCCACCGCGGCCACCGCGGCCACCGCCCGCCCGCCGGCCACCGCGGCCACCGGCCGGCCCGGCTCCGGCCAGCCCGGCTCCGGTGAGTCTGGCAGCGCCGAGGGCAGCGGGGACCTGGACATGGGCACCAGCGGTGACCAGGAGGCCAGCGGGGCGGGATCAGCCGGTGAGTGCCACCCCGGGCTCTGCGTGCCACCTGAGTGTCCCCAGGGCACCGCGTGTCCCCTGGGCACAGAGTGTCCCCAGGGCACAGAGTGTCCCCTGGGCACAGACTGTCCCCTGGGCAGTGCCACTGAGTGTCCCCAGGGCACCGAGTGTCCCCTGGGCAGTGCCACCTGAGTGTCCCCTGGGCACCAAGTGTCCCCTGGTGGTTTCAGCCCCCCCACCCTGAGTGTCACCACAAGCAGAGTGGATGGCATGCAGCGGTGCCACCGCTGTCTGTCCCCGGCTGTCCCCAGTGACACAGCAGTGTCAACCACTGGCTGTCCCCTGGAGTGGGTGACACACAGCAGTGTCACTGCTGGCTGTCCCCAGCTGTCCCCAGTGACAGAGCGGTGTCACTGCTGGCTGTCCCCTGGAGTGGGTGACACACAGCGGTGTCACCACTGGCTGTCCCCTGGAGTGGGTGACACACAGAGGTGTCACCGCTGGCTGTCCCGGCTGTCCCCAGGTGAGGAGGAGCCGGACGAGGCCCAGGTGCCACCCACGGCTGCCATCGAGAGGGCCACGTGCTACAACAGCGCCCTGGGGTGCTGCTCCGACGGCAGAACCGCGGCGGCCGACAGCGACGGCAGCAACTGCCCCGGTGGGTGTGGGGCTGGGCGTGGGGCTGGGCGTGGGGCTGGGCGTGGGGCACTGCCCCGGTGGGTATGGGGCTGGGAGTGGGGCTGGGAGTTTGGGATCCCTCAGGGAGGATGACACAGAACACCCCAGGTGGGTTTGGGGCTGGTTTGGGAAGCTTTGGAGTCCCTTTGGGGTCAGGAATTTGGGATCTCTCCGGGTGGGAGGACACAGGAAAATGAAAATGGAACGGGAGAGAGAAAGGGGAAGGAAAAGGGGAAAGGGAAAAGAGAAAGAGAGAGGGAAAGGGGAAAGGGAAAAGGGGAAAGGGAAAAGAGAAAGAGAGAGGGAAAGGGGAAAGGGAAAAGGAGAGGGAAAAAGAAACCAGAATGGGAGAGAGAAAGGGAGAAGGGAAAGGAAAAGGGAGAAGGAAAAGGCAAAAGGGAAAGGAAAAGGGAAAAAGGAGAAGGGGGCAGAAAATGGAAATGAAAAGGGAGAAGGAAAAGGGAAAAGGGAGAAGGAAATGGAAAAGGCAAAGGCAAAGGAGCCTCCTGAGAGGCTCCCACAGCAGGATTCTCCACCCTCGGCATCACAGGGCAGGCTCCAGCCCTGGTACTCCCGGTGCAGCTCCCGGCGGGTTTGGCAGGGCCGCGGTGGCCCGGTGCCAGGCGTCCCCCGGCCCCCCGTGCCCGCGGGTGCCCCGTGCCCTCTCTAACGTGTCTCTCTTGTCACCCAGCGGTGCAGGGGCGCTGCTCTCCGCGCCGGAGCTCGCAGGAACCCGTCTGGTAAAAGCTGCCATCTCCAGCCTGGTCCTTGCCATCCGCTCCAGCACTAATCCTCCATGGCTGCGCCCGTCCCATCCCGACTAACCCGGCACTGGCACTACCCCCACGCCGCCATCCCCCCTGCCCAGGGGCTCCGGCGCTCCCTCGCCGCCCCTGCCCCGCTCACGGCCTTGTCCTGTGTTCCTCCCCCCGCAGCCACCAAGGTGTTCCAAGGAGTGCTGATCCTGGAGGAGGTGGAGGGCCAGGAGCTGTTCTACACCCCGGAGATGGCCGACCCCAAATCCGAGCTCTTCGGGGAGACGGCGCGGAGCATCGAGAGCGCGGTGAGCCCCGCGCGGGTCCGTGGCACCTGGCATGAGGGACCCTGCCCGTGCCCCGAGAGCTGCCCCGCGGGGGACAGGACAAAGCTGGGCTTCGGCAAAGGGATCCCCTCCACGGATCCACCGTGGGCATGGCCAGAGTGGTCACAAATGGACCAGGGTTCCCTGGCCCGGTCGTGTATGGATCCCGTTCTTCTCCTAAAGAACAGCTGGAATTGTCCCAGCCCATCCCTGTCCCACTTCATTTATGGATCCTGTTCTTCTCCTAAAGAACAGCTGGAATTGTCCCAGCCCATCCCTGTCCCACTTCATTTATGGATCCTGTTCTTCCCCCAAAGAACAGCTGGAATTGTCCCAGCCCATCCCTGTCCCATTTCATTTATGGGTCCTGTTCTTCCCCTAAAGAACAGCTGGAATTGTCACAGAACATCCCTGTCCCACTTCATTTATGGATCCTGTTCTTCTCCTAAAGAACAGCTGGAATTGTCACAGAACATCCCTGTCCCCTCCCTGTCACCGTGCCAAGGCTGGGCAGCAAATTCCAGCCTGGATCCCTCCTGGCAATTCCCAGCCTGGATCCTTCCCTGGAAATTCCAGCCTGGATCCTTCCCTGGCAATTCCCAGCCTGGATCCTTCCCTGGAAATCCCAGCCTGGATCCCTCCCTGGCAATTCCCATCCCGGATCTCTCCTGGCGGGATCCCGTGCCCGGATCTCCTGTTAACCCTTTCCTGCCCCCAGCTGGACGAGCTGTTCCGAGGCTCCGAGGTCAGGAGGGATTTCCGGAGCGTCCGCGTGCGGGACCTGGGCCAGAGCAGCGCCGTCAGGGTCATCGTGGAGGCCCACTTCGACCCAGGTAGGGCCGGGTTCCCCGGGCATTCCCAGCGGGAATTCTGGCCGGGAATCCCTGGGGAGGAGGAGGGAAGAGCCATCCCAAAATTCAGAGGGGTTGGGACTTTGATCCTGCAGAATTTCCATGTGAGCGCAGCTGGGAGGGATTTCCATGGGAAAGGAAGTTTATTTTCCTTGGGAAATGAGAGTTATTTTCCTTGGGAAAGGAGGATTATTTTCCTTGGGAATGGAAGTTTATTTTCCTTGGGAATGGAAGTTTATTTTCCTTGGGAATGGAAGTTTATTTTCCTTGGGAAAGGAAAGATTATTTTCCTTGGAAAGGCAGATAATTTCCCTGGGAAGGAAGGGTTCTTTTCCCTGGGAATGGAAGTTTATTTTCCTTTGGAATTGAGGGATTATTTTCCTTGGGAAAGGAGAGTTATTTCCTTGGGAAATGAGAATTATTTTCCTTGGAAAAGGAAGATTCTTTTCCTTGGAAAGGAGAACTATTTTTCTTGGAAAGGAAGATTCTTTTTCTTGTAAAGGGCGATTATTTTTCTTGGAAAGGATTACTTCCTTGGGAAAGGAGGATTCTTTTCCTTGGGGAAGGAGGATTATTTCCCTGGGAAAGGAGGGAATTGGGAAGGGAATTCCTGTTGGGATCCTCACTGCTGCTTCCCTCCTGCCCCAGCCACGTCCCACACGGCCGCTGACATCCAGGGGGCTCTGCTGAAGCAGCTCCGAGCGTCCAGGAGAAAAACCATCCTGGTGAAGAAGCCCCAGCAGGAGCACATCAAGTTCATGGATTTCGGTGAGCCCCAAACCGTGGATTTTTGGGCTGGGGGGGCAGAATGCCAGCAGGGCTCTGCTGCTCCTGCCCAACCCTTCAGAACTTCCCGGGTGGGTCAGGAGCAACGGTGGAATTTGGGAATTTGGGGTTGGGAGGGACCTGGAAGGGATCTGGAGGTGGGCAGGGAATTCCAGAGGGGGCTTGGGCACTTCCAGGGGTCTGGGAAATCCATTCCAGGGGCTCCCCACACTCTGGGTAAAGCAGGAAACCCCAACTTGTGTTTGCTTTGAGGCCTGGC